GTGGTGGTGGGGGTGGTCGGGTGCGGGAGTGCGGTGGAAGGGAGCCGGTAACCAGCCTGCATTGGGGAAGCAACTTACCTGTTTGGGCTTTGGAGGGTTGGACTGTTAATATTCTCATTTTGCTGTGCTTAAGGTACCTCTTCCTGTCTGCAGCATCATAATTGTCAATTGGGTACTTTGGGTTAGTTTTTCGGTCTTTGGTCGTCTTTAGAGGGGAGGAGATAGCGGGAAGTATCTAGTAGTGCAGATCCGTGGTGGAAGGAGAAACGTGCAGGGTTAATACAAGCTGTCCATCTGTGTATCTGTCCACCTAGGTATCCATCTCTCTCTCTCAGGCCGGTGGATGAAGGTTGCTATCTTGGCTGTAGGAAAAAACCCTAAAAACTGTGTCTCAAGGTTTCCTCCCGGATTTAGCTAGCTGAGCTTCAAGTGGCTGTACCGGAGCTCTCAGAGAGATGGTGCTCGGCTCTGCTCGAAGTCTCCTAAAAGATCAGGGCGCTGGCAGAGCGCTGGCAGCGAGAGGAAGCCCAGTTACTGTGAAGCCATCAGGAGGGAGTGTGATGCAGCCGAGTCACTGATTCCCAGAAACTGGGCTTCACAGGGGAAAAAACCAAAGAAATCAGGAGACTAGAAAATGGAAGTGTAAATTTCACTGTGAACCTCTTGACATGAGAGGTCTTCCTTCATTCTTGAAAAAGCTAATGAAAACGCATTAGCATGGCACTTGGGACTGAGGGTCCTGGCTTCCAGCCTCCTGGAATTTGTCTAAAATGCAGTAGCCTCTGTGGATGCAGGAGCTCAGTGTCTTGCTCCGTTCTCATGGTCTGATGACAGTCTGTGCTCAGAGGCACGAGTTCCCAGGCAGTTCCTAGACGGGCTGTGTTATCCCCCGATGCCCTGGCTCCTTCTCTTGGAGGCTCTCAGGGTAATGTTGGGTAGTTAGTTGGTGCCCACTTAGGAGACACGCAGAATTTGATTTTCTCCTTGGCAGCATTCATTCTCAATTTGCTGTGCTTGTAGTTTAGGTATCAATTCCAAGGGACGTCATGTTGGCTCTTGGATGGTGTCTCCCCTTGGGTGCTATTTTGACAGTAATGTTCCTGAAAAGATTTCAGACTATTGTGGGGAATTGGGCATTTGAAATGAGATGGGGTTGAGGGTTGCAATTGAATTTGAGACAGACTTTTATTTAGAAAGATGCTGAGGTAGTTCCTCTTTCCTCCCTGCCTTTGGGGCTAGGTTTAAAATTTGGGGCTGGATTTTGGTAGTAATTGCTGTGCCTTTCTGGCTAATTTTCTCCGCAACCCCAAAGCGATCTGATGATGGGAGGAGAGGCAGAAAGCTAACTAGCTGTTGAATGTGCCATTGGGCGGATTTGAAATGGCCCAGCAGGGCTGCAAGGTTTTGCACTGGCATCGAAGAGCAGGGAAGAAGTGGAGGCCTGATATTGAAGGATGCATGGTTAGTGGGCAGCTTAACCTTGACACATGCAACACACTGAAGGTCACAGATCAGACTGGAAGGAGGTATGTGGAGAGTTCTAGTTCTGGTCAGTAGTGGGCTGGCCAGGTCAGAATGAAAGCTTGCTTAGGGTGCTAATCAGAAATCGAAAAACCCAGAGAGCACTCAAGGGAATTAGATTTCAGGGGCAAAGGCAGACTGATATGGGGGATCTTAGGCACAGCAATTAATCTGAAGCAGGATGTGATTAATTGCTTATTTTTCAGGAAGACTGTAATTGCATCTTTTTGCTTCTCACCAAAAGCTCAGTTAAGGGAGCTCTCTGACAGGGCATCTCAGTGCCGAGGCCCAGGCACTCGATAAATATTTGTTGATTTAATTTACTCGTGATCCTTTCCCCCAGATTGTGTTTATATTGCTCACTGTATCTGAAGATATGCTATCTCACCTTTGGTAGTTCAAAATATATCTCCAGAGCATAAAATGAGCTTCTGTTCAATGCCCCAACAGAATGCTTAATAAGATTCTCCTAAAATAAAAAAAAGTCCATGCAAACAAAACAGTGGATTTCTTATCTGGAAGATGGAATTGTAGTACCTGTCTTTGGGGGAACTTTGATGCCTTTTTCATGCCAATTCAGGTTGGAATCAGAAAGATTTTCTTTCATCTTATGTCTTTTAATATGATCTTGCTGTCGGACTTGGCTCTACTGCCATAGGCAGCCTTACGGGTAAAACCTACAACATCATTTTAGAAATTTACTCCACCTGTTGGATATAGGTGACACCCTGGACGTATTGGATTGTTATTCTTTAGAAATTCAATAAAAGGGATGCAGTGATGAAATTACTTAGAGTCCCCTGCAGCTTTGCTGATATATATTTACAAAATTCATTTGAAGGTGGGGGGAGGCATTTTCTGGGGGTACCACCGTCGCCACCAGGGACCTGGTGTTTCTTCCCGAGTCGTCGTCCC